CCAGACTGAGTTGTCCTAGACACACCGGAGGCAGGTGGGTTAGTGCACCAACCAACCAACACCAAACAGAGTTCGGGCAGCCCAAAAGCTCTGCATTCCATAACTGCTGCCATACTCATGGCCAGAATCCACTGCTTGGGATGAGCCTTATCCCAAAATTGATCTGTTGAAAAACTCAGGTATGTGAATGAAATCTCCAGCCTCTCATTAAGTTGGAGATGGGCTATTTCCCCTCTGCCCCATCTCTCTATTCTTCCAGAAGCCTGGCAGTCACACTGATTAACTGCCTCTGGCATCAACTGGTCATGATCCAGAGACTCTTAACTGAAACCTCAAAAGAAATCAACAGGTTGCCGAAATATTTTTGGACTCTGTGCCAGTCTGTCTTCTGGGCTCTCAAAGTCACTATCCAGTTAAAAATTTTACTCCAGCTGGATCACCCCATTCAAAAATTTTAAATTCCTGGAACACACAGCTGGGACATCTCAATCTATACATCACTGATAAACCAGGAGTAGCACAACACACTGGATGGGATATAAACTAGAAAGCAACCAATCTCAATTAAGAGAATATAAACACACAAGGCTTAACCGATAACTACATATTAGTAATCTCTTCTCCAAGGGCTTAATGTGGTGGGATACAACAATATGCACACATCTTGCTAAGGAAGTTTTTTCATCATTTTTAGTGAATTATAACAAGCAACATAAAATTTATTGTATAATTTATTCAAGGCCTGCTATACAGGCAGGCTTGAGAGGTGGTTGGGAAAATTGGGAATAATGGTGGTGGGAAGGTACAATTGTGCTGGGATTGGTGTTGGAGTATTTAATGTAATAAATCATGAACAACTTTATAAAAATAAAAAAGTAAGAAATTACTTTTCATCTGCCAGTTATGAGAACTTCTAGAAACAATAAGTTTAAGAAGGACTAAAGGGAAAGTAAACAAGCAAGTATTGAAGCACGGGGAAATATGAAAATGAAGTCTAAGGGGCTGGAGTCATAGTACAGATGGTAGGGCATTTGCCTTGCATGTGACCGACCCCAGCTCGATTCCCAGCATCCTATATGGTCCCCCGAGCACCAAGAGTAATTCTTGAGTGCAGAGCCAGGAATAACCCCTGTGTATTTGTGCATTGCTGGGTGTGACCTAAAAAGAAAAAAAAAGTCTAAAATCCCAGTTTTTCAAGATTAAAAGTGAGAATATCAAATTTTCTGAAAAGGAGCACATGTTGCAAAGCACAAGTGTATATATGGTATCCTAGGTTTGATCAAATGGGAAAATAAAAGGAAAGAAGGAAAGGAGGAGAAGGTGGAGGGGGAGGGGGAGGAGAAGGAGGAGGAGGAGGGAGACAAGAATGGATCTTACCGAGATGGTATTTATTTCTGAATAAACTAAAAACAAAGGAGGAAAGAAATAACTGCTAGTCAACTTTCTATATTATATTTTAAAGAATCCCCACGGTCACTGTTTTTCAAACTAAAAATCAATATATTGCCTGCATATATGAGGTCCTTGGTTTGATCCATGGCACTGCCTCCCTGACCCCGCCCCCTCCATTCCCCCAAACAGTGGCAAGGGAGACAGGGCAATCTTTGCATGTGGGGGATCCAGCAGTGGATCTGACCATGGTCGCCTGAGTACTGTCAAAAATGACCCCTGGGTATGGCTCTCCCCTAAAAAAAAAAAAAGAAATAATCATCATCATTTAGTCAAAGGAATTCATTCATTCTCATAGAATGAAAATGAAATAGGTGGAAGATAAAATGAAAATTCAGAAGTTCCTCAATAGGCTCTTTATATACTGCTAAACTTTCTCATCGGTTTAAGTCCCATGGTGAGAGAAGAAATAAAGCAAACATGACGAGAATAGGAGTTTTTATACTCTTTATTCCATGTTGACTCAACTGGTTCCTTCTGAAGCTCAAAGTCAGGGAGGGAAGAGCCTGCATTCTGAAGTCAATTTTACTGTTAAAGCTGGTTATTATTTTGTGTTTGTTGCAAGAAGCCATAACTGTGATCTAACAAAGGTGAGGGAGAGTGAGTAAAATAAAAGGAGGCAGCAAATAGAGTGTTTCTTAAGAGAAAGGAAGCAAATAAATAGCAATTTAGAATTTGCAATTTTGCACTTGGTACTACAGGAAGAAAAATCTAGGAAGTCCAACTGCCACTTTGAAAAAATAATTGATGAGAGTAAATATAAAGGGAAAATATTGAGGCAACAATAATGGCTTATTGAGTTTATTTTTTTATATATTGTAAAAAATAAAAACTGGAATTCTAACATGACCAACTAATTTATAACCATAAGGTAAATGTCCTTTTGCTAATAGAGAATAGAAGGTTTTCCCTTCCGTTGAAAAAGCATACCATTGTGTTCTAGGTATCTGCGTTTCAAGCTGCCCATACTGTTCAGATATAAGATGTGAAAACATGGGGCTGGTGCAATAGCACCGCAGGTAGGGCAAATGCAAAGGCAAATGCTTTGCATGCAGCTGACCCGGGTTCGACTCCCAGCATCCCATATGGTCCCCTGAGCACTGCCAGGAGTAGTTCTTGAGTGCAGAGCCAGGAATAACCCCTATGCATTGCCCGGTATGACCCAAAAAGCTAAAAAAAAAAAATTTTTTTTAAATGTGAAAACAACCACTTTTGGAATAAGCATGGCTATCTCCTTTGGAACAATCTTATCCTGCCCCCCCTCCCCCCTGTTTTTTTTAACTCACAAGAAGCTTGCAGATGGAGAAGGCAGCAAATACAGACATCACGGGCACACATGGAGGGATTAAAGAGTAAAACTTGGTAGCATGAAGGCATTTATAAAAATATTTCCTCAAACCCGACACAATTAATATTCTTTGGTATACAGAAGGGCAGTCCAGCTTTTCAAGCTATTGTTTATTAGCCTAGCCTGGGCCTGCACCCTGCATCGAGCACATGCAACCTTTTGTAACAACACATTCTCTCCATTTACTAATGTCAGGCTGCTAAGATGCAGCTTCCTCTGACTTTCTGTTCTGTCTCTGTGGGTTCAGAAGCAGTTCTCCCTGTTTAGAAAATTTACTACTGAGCTAGCATTCAACTCAACTGCACGTAATACAAAAAGAATCAATTACTCGCTCCAAACAATGAGCCGATGACTAGGAATTGGAAATCTATGTAATTGAGTTTCTTCTTTCAGGGTGAAAAAACATAATCATTGGAAATGTGTAGTCTCAAAGAGACGTTATGAACATGTCTCAACTATATAATAAATCTTATTCATATTAACTTTTTATTTCAAATTTCCTTTCTATTCCAAGTTGGTAGCTCTTTCCTCAGTGCCTATTCCCTCTTGCTACATGAAGTATCTACTACTTGTAAATGTTCCATCTGAAATTTCAATATCAATGATGTAGCATACAGCAACATGTAGCAGAGGCATGTCGGTCTGGATAACATACCGTCACAAATAAACCAGAAAGTCATTACAGACTGGTGAAGAAGTGTGTCTGTCTGGTGCCAACAACCTCTGAGAGTTAGGTGGATGGCACTCAGCAGCAGGTGTCTGCTTGGAAAACATTCCTCGGTATCAAGGCTGCAGAAGAAAATACAAACACAGGCCACCCAACCATCTTCCTTTCCCACTGGGTGTTTATTTTATAGCTTTTGCATCAGGTATTCAACTGAAGCACTACCACAACAGAAAGCTGGCAGAATGTTCACAGAAAGAAGCGATTATCTCTCTCACAGATGTGACAAAATGGTTTCGAGTTGGAAACAGCAATGCATAAATGAATTAGTTGAACGGGGTCGGGGGAAGGAGGCACAGAGAGAGAAGACAGTGGAAGAAGTGAGCATCTTCCAACATGTAGTGTGAGAGGAAAAAGACACTATTTAGCTATCTGTGTACTCATAAAATACAAATCGAATCACACATCCACGTTTCTCAAAATCACACTTGAGAGCTGCTTGCCTGACCCTCAACAGAAAGCCCTGGAAGCTGCCTGGGAAACGAGGGGACAGCACCAGTGCATCTTAATCAGAGGCTTGCCAGGAATGTGTGTGCAGGAGATTGCCACCACCAGCGTGTCTTTTAAAGTAGCACTGGAAAGGTCACAAAGCTGCACAAACTTAGCCAGATAAGACAAATCTGGCGACCTGACGACCCATTTCAATTTCAGAATTTCCACTCCAGAAGATCAGAAAGTGAGTCCTGATTCACAGGAGCTGACTGAATTGGATATGTGTCTCAAACAGGGTTGCTTTTCTCCTCAAAGGACTGCCCGAGCGACAGTTTAGCTGGCATCACACGGCAACTTTGCATAGGGCAAATGGATGAGAGATTTAATAGCAAGTGCCCTTCTTCCTCTCAAAATAAATAGCACTAATTTATGAAGAGGCAAAATTTCAAATCATAAAGTAGAAGCACCTGGGCCTATTAAAGGCAAACTTCATAAAAGGTTACAATACTCAGTGCTTTTCATAATAAAGGATTCTAAGACCATAGGTGTATTTGAGAATGATCAATGGGAAAACCCAGAAAGATGGTTTACACAGATGCTCTCTATGTAGAATTTGAATATAAATTAAAATACCAGCTATGCATGTGGGAACCAGCCTTTAGTTAAATTCTCTAGTGATTTTAGAACTTTTATTTCATTTTATTAGAAAAAGAGAATCATTGTCTACAAACTATTTTTCTTTCTAACTATGCAAATACATTGAGCAAATAACCTGTAATATCAAAATACTGTTTGTAAATCACGGATGGTACTAACAATGTCAGGAATTTCCAATAGGACAGATATTGAAAAAAAAGCAACAAAAGATTTCAAGTTATAGACATTAAGTAAATTTTAAGGCTAGAAAATAAAGTATAAAGATTAAAAGTCAGTAATTCTCTGATTTTCAATAATTTAAATGCAATCAAAAGAAATTCAGAAGCACCCAATGTTCGAAGTTGCATAAATGCATACAGATGATGGAAAAGTAATTCTCATGCAATATACTAAGAGCTGCTATGAGATATATTTAAGTGATACTTTACAGATAAAAGTGGGGTAAAATAAAAATATGTCCTTCCCATTGCACTTAAAACAGTCACAATAATTTATCAACAGTTGCCTCTTCAGAGCAATTAGAAAATAGGAACTGATAGAAGTTGAACAAAAAGGTACTTTGTCTTCTTTAGGAAATAACACACATAAACATATATACATATATGTATATATATACTGTTACACACACAGTACACACATATCTTTCAAAATTCAAAGTGATTAATTTGTTTTTATATTATAAAAAAAGTTTCCTATGAACAAATACTGACTGAGCACAAAGGCAGAAAAAAGAAAATCACATTTGCCACTTTAAAAAAATACATTATTGTCTTAATGATTCAATTCATTTTGTTGATTATAAAGATAGGTATTTTAAGTATTTTGCAGTTGTCAGACTCCTGTGATTGTACTGGGCCAGACAGAGTTAAATCTCTTTCTTAGTCTCCCAGAAGGATCCGCCTAACCCACCCTAAAACAGATTAAATGCCTCTAATTCTAAGTATTAAATGAAGAAAGAAAAAAAAATCCCACCTGGAAGCAATCTAAGTTATAAAATTTTATGAATTTGTGGGAGAGGCAGCCTGAACTGGAAAGCTATTCTTTGGATAGAAAGTAGGAGCTTTTAGAAATACACAAGCTCTTTTAAGCCAGCAGAATACAGATTCAAAAATGGTTTCTTCATAAACAACGATTCCTCTATTCATGGGGTTGATAAACCACAACCTTTGGTTTCAAAGTTATCTATAACTGGAATCCCATCTGTTTTCTTAGTAAAGCTGAATTGGAAATGGCCATGTACATTGTATTCACGTACCGTCTATGATCCTATATAGCAAAAGTTGACTGATCCCCAGATCTACTGCACAACATTTTCTCTAGGCACCTCAAAGAGTCAATGCATCTCAGGAAAATTTTAGCACACAATCCAAGAAGAGTCTCCTTACTGGGGATTGTGGCTCCTTGGCAGATAAATATCAGAAACAAGCCAGCTGGGAGTAGTGTTGCCATTAGGGCAAGGAAATTATTTGTATTTCAACAAACCCCCATAAAAGCTAATAAATACAATACAAAAAAAAAGGGAGAGGAGAAAGGGAGGGGGAAAGTAAGGCAAAATAAGAAAAGTAGGCTTGTCTGTGATTTATAAATATTCTTATGATTGAGGAGAAAGCAGGGTTACAAATGATTCTATCCATGTCCTTTAGTTTTTCCTTTAACTGTTTCATGAATGCTTTTTGATAAGTAGTGCTCCCTCCCTGCTACCAACATTAAAGAACCCTGCCTATTATACATGTGGTTTGATGAGGTTGCTTTCAGAAATATTTAAACTAAACATATTAAAGATTATCCTTTTAGAAAATGTTTCTAAAATTCTTTATTTCCATTACTCTCAAAAGGGTGAAGAAGTAAAGAACGCACAAGGAATTCGACTGTAAAATATACCTTAAAAACCAGAGGTATAAAAGAGCTAACATTTTTTTAATGTAATGTAAAATAAAACCAGAAATATCATCCCGATTGGCGGAGCAAATTTTCCCCTGCCCAGAGTCAGCTAATGAAGTCTTTTCCAAACAGGAGACCTTTTGAACTCAAGCAGCTGCTCAGGAATCTTTAAGAGTTCACAGGTGCTTCGTTTTTGTTGAAAGGTGGAAGATATAACACTGAGAAGATATTTATCAAACACAAATTTATATCAAGATTAACTTTTTCAACCAGCTTATAAGTGGATGTTTCCTTTTCTTGGTTAAAATAAAATTGTCATGAAATTATACGTTAAAGATGTTTCCTTAATACCTTACATTTACATAGCGCTTTACAGTTTTCAAAGTGCTTTCTCATGCCATCTCATTTAATCCTCACAACACCCCTGTGAGGTAGGTACAGCAGGTATTATTATCCTCATTTCAAAATGAGAACATTGAAGCAAAGAGAGGGTAAGTGTCTTGCCCACGGTCACACAACTGACAAGTGGCAGCGCCAGGACCAGAAATCAGTGTTCTGATTCTGTGCAACACTCTGCCCCAATTATCAGCAATGGGCTCTGTATCAAAACTGAAGGGTGACTGAAGTTCATCTGAGTGATGTCTTAACAGTAAAGTTCAATGAGAATACTAGGACAGTAGGTCTGATGGTTTTACTTGACATAAAATTGGTGCAAAACTACTTTTGTGTCATTAGCTATACCTTTTGGTCCAAATACATAAAATATGCAATATTTACAGCATTTTTCTTTTTTTTCCTTGTGTAAATGCAATGCTTTAAAACACATTATAAAGCACCTTAGTAAAAATAGTCTACAAGTAAAAGTACAGAAGAAGTAGGAAAATCCTACCCGTTTCGCAGCTCACTAATGGAGTTATAATATGGAGTCACTGATATCTCAGTTTACAGCTTTACAAATAACCCAAGGGGGAAACAAACACTAAATTTACTGTTTTGATAGTAATGTGTGAAAGGTTTAACTAAAAATCTAGGCAATATCAACATTCTTTGAAGTGTCTTCCCAATGTAAGACACTAGGGACAGAGAAGGAAGAAATACTGTTTCAACTTTTTTTTTCAGTATTATTAATGGTTTAAATTCATTTTTTAACACTTAAGATCTTTTTTGAAAGAAAATGAAAATGGCCTACATAAATATGGGCAATTATAACTACAGCAGAAACATTTCTTTGCAAACATGATCAAACACTCCAATAAATTTCATGAGACATGATTCACAAAAACAAAGCACACACAGCCAAACAGTTAATAATACTATTCAGTAGAGGTGGATGGATGATCTACACCTCCAGGCAGAGGCTAAAGTACCAAATGGATTCATCTCTGTTTGTGGTTAGTTGAAAAAAAAAAAGCTTTATATAAAAAAGTAATAATAATAATAATAACTTCATTATCAGAATGTCAGCTGAAATTGTGTTTAGCCTTTTGATTAGACCTATACATTTATTTTAGGTCATAGAGTTTTTTTTTTCCGGCAGGAGGTTATAACTCTCACCAAAATTTAACCAAAGAAGAGAAAAAAAGGCTGAATTGAAACAAACTTTCTAGACCACTGACAGACCAGTCATTGCTGTCTTTTTCCTAGTTTGGCTCATTATAAATTGTCTTATACACCTACCAGTAATCCAGATTGTAGAGCTGAGAAATAAGATGAAGACAGGGTCAAAGTTTCAGTTCAGGAATCTAACAGTCACACCCTTGTATTCAGTTCGATTTAGGGTAAATCTTTTCATAGAAAAAGTTTTGTGCGAGGATGTAGAGGTCTCCGTCTTTTTCTCGTACAGCATGGGCTCTGATGAACTGAAACTGCTCTAATGCAAATTCATAGAACTCATTCTCCATTTTCCAAATGTCAGACTGCTGTAGTTTTGCAATGGTTTGTTTAGTGGGGAGTTTCTTCTCTGTGGTTTTCCTAAGATGAGATTTCTTTCCTACTTACAAAGAAAATAAAGAAAAGGTAAATATTTCTGAGAATACACAAAAGATCAGTAACTCTGTTTTGAAGGATGATTTAATATAGCCTGGCTACCCGTGACGTATTCGTTATGCCAAAAACAGTAACAACAAGTCTCACAATGGAGACGTTACTGGTGCCCGCTCAAGCAAATTGATAAACAATGGGAGGACAGTGCTACAGTGCATGGAAGGCCAGGTAATAATTATTTAGCATTAGTATCTTTCAGCAAAATGGGTGCCCTAATCACAGCAGAACTGTAGTTCATTCCTTTATAATGTAAATTAACTTGTTTATATTTTAATGAGATACCAAACAGTAAAAGTAAGGATCTACTCTCAGTAAGACACAGACTGTTACCTTTCATGCTTTATTTTCAAATGTCCAATGTTCTGACAACTTAATTATTTAAAATTTATTTTTAAATTAATAATAACTTCTCACAGACTATATTCTCTAGTGTTATGTACTAGAGGCAAGACTGTATCTTACCAAAGAATCAGATGCTTGACATTAAAAAAAAAAAGCCAGAATTAGACTGGACCAACACAGTAACGATATAGTATTGATTGTTGTGGCTGTTGGGAATTCTGTAATGAATATAAGGCTGTTGTGAATTCTGTAATGTTGTGGCTGCTGGGAATTCTGTAATGAATATAAGGCAGGACAATCTTTTTTGTTTGAACCACCCAGTGGCACTCAGGGCTTACTCCTGGCTTTGCACTCAGGAATTACTTCTAGCAGTGCTCAAAGAAAAATATGGGATGCCGGGGACTGAACCAAGGTTGGCTGCATTCAAGGCAAGCACCTTACCCACTGTTCTATTGCTCGAGCCCCGATGATGATCATTATTCATGTCACTAAGTCCAACCATCCTTGTCCAACTCTCAATGACATCAAGCAAGTCTTTAAAAGGCTGGAATATCAGGTCTTAATGTTTATTAAGAAGTGCTATTGAAAAGTACACTTTCAATAGATCGTGTTGCTTCCCTCATTTTAAAGTGCCTTTGAATTATCATCTAATGCAAGCTTATTCATTCAAAAGTTGCCTAATGACACTATCTGAGTACCATCATCTATTCTATATTAAAAGCTAGCAGCAGAAACTGACAATATAGACAATATATACTTCTTTTTTGTTCTTTACTAAAGAAAACTTCAAATCACATATTTTTCAAGTTGAAGAGAAAATCAATGTAAAGACCACTTCCAAGAGAAACCCTTTCCTTATATACCTGTGCGATAGAGTTCTGTAGCACCTCTGAAGAACCGGGGCAAAGCTGCTTCCAATAACATGATAAAATCTTCAAGCTCTTCAGTAACTCCGACCAAAAAGTATTCATTAATTAGGTTATACTTGGCTTGATCCATAGCCCACCTGCTTCCCACATTCCTAAACCAAAGAAAGGGAATCAGAAATCTGGTCATGAAATCTGCCAAGTATCTTTTATGCCTTTGACACTGTATATTATGGAGAAAATAGATAAACACATAAACATCCAAAGATTTAGTGCCCTTTTACTGACAGCCTTTTGAGAGGTACACCTGTTTCTAATTTTCTTTATCTCAAACCCCAAATTCTGCTCAGCTACACAGTGTATTAACCAGAATGTATTAGGAACGCTTCATATGAACAAAAAGTAGTTTCAGGGCAGCTGAAAAATGCATATATGTAACATATAGTCTTCTCATCGGATTTATTTTGAACACACTTAGTATTTTTAACAACTCTAAATTGAACTTGTTCCTTTTAAGAACTCTACAGTTAAGGTTTGTTTAGCGTTTGATGTGTGAATGTGGACTTATCTGAAATTTATGAGAAATAAAAAATACATAGGAATGGTTCTGCTAAGAATCATTTCTATTTATATTATCAGCTAATCTCTGCTGTTAACAGAGATTCAGCGTTCAATATGTTTTAGCACTCACATTCACTACTAATAATTTGATCTCTGCCTTTAGTGTGATCTAAACAAAAATGTTCTCTCCTCTTCCCTTGTTTGTTAGTTCTACTGCACTTGATGTGATGCCTGGCAGAACTCACACACATGGCTCACCTGGTCCTGATTCTCAGCAGAAGTGGCACACTTCAGTTACTATGGTGAGCTGGAGAGAGGACAGGGGTAAAGGCATTTGCCTTTCATGAGGTTGACCTGATTCAGTCCCCAGCACCACATACTGCCCTCAAGCACCACCAGAAGTCATGCTTGAGCACAGAGCCAGGAGTAAGACCTGAGCACAGCCAGGTGTGGTCCCCAAACGAACCAAACAAAAACAGTTGCTATGGTGACATACACAAAGGGCTGTGGCACCCTGGAGATCAGCAGGAATCCCAAATGGCAGTGCCACCTGCGTACAGATACAACTCTGTCCACAAACTCCATTAAGTATTTCCAAATGATCTGGAGACACTTTCCTAACTTTACTTATTCAGCTATTAAAAAGCAACAGCATTATAAAGGGATGTGGGGAAGAAGATAAAAGTTGACTTCTACCAGGGGCTGGAGCAGGTAAGTACTTGAGTTGCATGTAGCTGAAGTGTAAGTTTGATCCTGGGCATCCCATATGATCCCCTGTACACGGCCATGAGTGCAGAGCCAGAAGTATGCCAATGAGCACTGTTAGATGTGGCCCACCCCCCAAAAACAAATAAATTAATTAACTGACTTCTATAGTTCCTTCCATTACTATGAATTTATGAAATATACTAAGGAAATTAAATTAAAATCTAAAAAAAGCCCAACAGAGAAAGATACTTTTGTATACTAAAGTGGGTGCTGGCAAGCTTAATACAAAGTACCAATGAAATCACCACTTAGACTTTGCAGGCCATAGGACTGTGATCACAGCAGCAGCTATGCCACTGCAGTGTGAAACAGTCACCGTCAATAGGTAAACAAATGGATAGGTTGTGTCCCAATTAAACTTTATTGGAGGCCAAAGCACCAGTACAGCAGGTAAGGCACTTGCCTTGCACAAAGCCAACTGGGGTTCGATTCCTGCCATCGCATATGGTTCCCCAAGCATTGCCAGGAGTGATTCCTGAGTGCAGAGTCCGAAGTAATCCCTGTGCACTGCAGGGTGTGGCCACAAAACCAAAACCAAAACCAATAGAACTTTATAAAAATAGGTAAAAGACCAAATTTGGTCTTCAAGTTGTAACTAATTTGTAAAAAATCAAGTTGTGAAAAATTAGGAAGACATTTTTCTCCCTGCGCTTTAAAATCTCTTCTGCTAGTATTAGATTCAGAGAAAATCTATTGAGTTCAACTTGAAAAGCCACAATAAGCCAATACAGTCATAGATTACTTAAAGCGCTTAGGTCATCAACATCCTACATATCTGATAGTGATCCCAAAAGGCAACACCTGCTTTGGTTTGCAGAAGGCTCTACCATTCATATTTATCCAAGAACACTCTGGGATGTTTGCACAATGATAAAATTGCCTAACATGATGTTTCTCAGGAAAGACCCCATTGTTAAGTGTTATGTGACTGTAATGTATCTCAACCAGAACAGAAAGGAACAGAAGCCATTGCAATTCCTAACAGAAGGCATTATGGTTTTTAAGAAAGGCACTAACTTGGATGGATTCCTTTTTTTCCCCTATCTCTAATCCATCATTTCCCCTTCAAGTGATTGATTAAAACAAATAAATTACAAATTGTAATTCCCCAATTTGTGGGAAGAGTAATAATATTATATTGGTAAGAAAACTTTGGCCACGTACTGTATATTGCTGGGCCAAGAAAGAGTTAAAAGTTTGTCCCTGATATTTACAGGGATCCATTTGCACTCACTCTGAAGTTATGTGCTGACTCTCACTCCTTACTAGCCACCTGGACTGGCTCTCTTGCTAACAGAGTGTACGCGCTGACCCTGAACAGTCTAAAAAGAAATCGTTTTCTCCCTATTTCCATCATATCTTATTCCCCTACAATAGTGGCAATGCTTTATGTAACTACAGATTGCAGTTAACCTTGAATGCTTTCATTGATGCTTTGTTTTATTGTATGCTGGAATGTAATTTAGGGTGTAAGTGTGACTGCAGACTTGAGTTCTGGTTGAGGCTTTGATGCTTGGCCCTGGTGCAGAGGACGGGAGGGACAAATACAGCTTCTTGTCCCTCTCTCCTATCTGGCTTGTTGACTCTCATTGAGTTCGTACGAAGTTGGATGCAACAATACCGTTATTTTTAAAAACTGAAAACACAGCACAGCACATTCTAAGGAAATAAACTCTATATAAAAGATAAAATAACTTTGTTTTTACTTCATATTTATTAGAATATTAAATTACAAACATGATGTTGGCTTTTCTCAAAGTCAAAATCATTTCAATGGTAAAACAGGTAATTTACCTACCCTGCCTTTTCTTATCACAGAAATGGCTGAAACAAGCTTAAGAGAAAATGAGGTTTCTAAAATGGTCCCTCCTCTAGTATAATAAATAGGAACAATAAAAAGAAATGAAAAAATTTAAGATCAGCATGGAAAATAGCACTGCAAGGGTATTAATTAGGAAGATTCTTCTAAATGCATTTACATTTAGCCACAAAACAAGATCTTATTTAGTTACATGTTATTTTCCTGTTATTTTGTGTTTTATACATGTCTCTAATATATACACGATTATGAAATACAAATATTAAAGATCATGAAGAATGTTTGTTTTTTCAACATCAGCTATTTTCCTACCAGCATTCCGAGCTGTGGCCACAGAAAAATGGGATTTGAAGCCATAGTTTCTCTGGAGCGCAGTCTGAGCCACCCTCAGCTACACACTCATCAAAGGTCTGGAACAAAAAACAAAGCAGATGAACATAAACTCCAATCTCACCTATCAGATAACATAGTAATAGAGTTTTAATTTTTAAAAATTTTTATTAATTTAAATGTGGGGTTGGGGATATCTACCAGTACCTGATGGACCATACATGGTACCAGAGATCAAACTGGGCCAGCTCCATGCAAAGAAGTTTTAAACCCTGTATTATCAAGTTTTTAAATAAGCAGGTGGGAAAGGTTGGATCAAGACAGCAATTTGAAGGAAATAGGCAAATCATGAAACCGTATGTGAGACAGAGAAGAAAGTCGCTGTTTCTCGTGTCTTTGTTTTACATCTATGTTTATGAGCACTTTTACCCAATAAACTGAAAACCCAAATAATTTATCCTTGAAAATAAATGGTTTATGTCTAATTTGTGTATTTAAATCTTGTCTCCTTGAAAAAGGATATTTTTTTTAAAAAAGCACTTTCTTTGGTAGAAAAAAAAGTCATTAAATAAATCTGAATATATTCTTTGTGAAGTAATCATACAAAAATATGAAGTACACGTTTTTCTCCTTTTCTCATTAAAACAAAAACAAAGCAGAATGATTTTAAACATTTATAACCAGTATGCCCTCCTTGCCAACTGCACCTGACTGAATTAATTAGAAGGAAAAGAGACTATCAAATTAACTTCACTTTATTCAAATTAACTACACTTTATTGAGCATTTTACTGTCAGTCACAGGCATTTTAACGATGGTCTTTATCTACTTGACAAGATAAAGCAGTGAGATACTAAACTTAGGAGGTTTGGTACTTAAAGTGAAACACCTATAAACACCATCGTAACTTCTGAGAAAAAGTAGCATGTAAGAATAGAAAGAACACTTGTCCAAAGGCTCATGAGTTTTGAACACTAGATCTGTCACTACTATAAGTCTGTAAGGTCTCAAAATCCTACTTTTTGAATCTATAAAGATAAATCTTAAGATAAACTAAAGCACTGTTTCACAAAAAAAATTATGAAGATATTGCCAAAAAATCCTTAGGCCTGGATATGAGTGGAGCTACCAGCTCTATTCTGGTAATATCCAAGATATGACAGCAAATTACAGCCCATTATTTGTCCCTATCTCTTATACTTCACTGTGACAATGGAACGAAAAGATCTAACATCGTAAGATTTAGATTGTTTTTAAGACTGTGGTTTGGGTTTGAGTTATTTTTACTTATTTATTTTGTGCTTTCTGGGTCATACCCGGTGATGCACAGGGGTTACTCCTGGCTCATGCACTCAGGGACTACTCCTCGAGGTGCTCAGGGGACCATATGGGATCCTGGGAATTGAACCCGGGTTGGTTGCAAGCAAGGCAAATGCCCTACCCGTTGTGCTATTGCTCCAGCTTCTGGGTTTCAATTCTGATGACAGAAAACCTGCATCTTCATTTATAGTACTGTTTCATATTCAATATTTTCAGCAATAGGATTATATAGTAGCCTCGTAATCCATTTTCAACATCTTGGACATTTCTTAAATTTTTTTTCTCCCTCACTCACATCCAGAATAATGTCTAACTCATCTCTTCTTTGATATTTCATCAGAATTTCATAATGCGAGATTATCTCTCCCCTACCTTTTAGTTCGCACTATATGGTTTCCAGATTAGGCTAAGGTATCATTTCTATTTAGAAACCTTTCATGCTTCCAACAGCTTAAAAAGGAAATCAAATTCTTAATCCTCGTTTTCAGGATGCTCCACCCTTTGACTTCAATGTGCCAGTTTAATGTTCTCACTACATATAGCTTCTTTCCATCTTTACTAGATTAATCTTTGTAGTTCTCAAGCATATCGCATGCATCCTAAGCACTGCTTGAGAGACGTCCCCGTCTTCCACCCCTGCCAAAATAAACTTTGTTTTTCGCTAAATTTTAAAAAATGAGGATATTAAAAGAGGCCACAATGTTAAAAGTTTCACCAGGTTTCTATGTGGAAAATTATATAAAATTAAATATCGGCTATTAGAATTAAAACTGGCTAATATATATAAAAACATGTAGAATGCCTATTTTAACCCCAGTTTTCTAGTTAATTTCTAGTTTCTTTTCCCTTCATTTTGATACTTCAAGCAACCCTTAATTTTAAATTTGCTAGCTCATTTGGTAGTCTAAGAGTTACTTTCACAATCCGTATTTTCCTTCTTTCATAGTCTCAACAGTTTTAGCTTCTCCTGCAGTGAGGTATGGCCATGTGACTCACTCCATGCCATGGGTTGCAGGTAGGAGTATATGGGTCACATGGAATCCCAGGAAGGTGCAGTGGTGAAACCAAATGAGCCAATCACGGAAGAACAACAGCTGAGTAGCAAAAGGGAAGGAAGCCCTGTCCCTGACTGAGAGAAAAGCTACTCCAAGAGACATGACCTCTCACCTTTAGGCTTTTATATATAAGAAAAATAAATGTTACTTAAAGCTGTCTGCATTATTTTGAGAATTTCAGCATCTATCCTATTTCACTTACCAAAGGTTCTCCTCTCCCAGAAATTCTAGCTCAGCATACTAAAGAATCAAAATGTTAACCATCAGTGTTTTTCACCTATAAACCATCTACCCTTACAGCAATTCTTTGTGAATGGAATACGTATGTTTTTAATCTCAAGAAATGTGAAAATACCCTTTAGGCTATTGTTTCTCAACTGGGGACCATATGGCCCCTGTGGGCCTCCAGGATATTTTAAGGGGACGACAGGAGAAAATTGTGTAAAGGGGGTTGGTTCAGGGTGGGGAATATTTAAGGCCAACCTGTAGATGAGGTGGGGGAGGGTGGGGTGCAAAAAGGAACAATATCAGAGGAGGGTCATGGTCAGAAAAAAGGAGAAACATTTCATTAGACTATCTAGGTTATTCCTTTAGATATTTAAGCTCCTAATATTTAAGCTTTAAAATGTGATGCCCGAGAGTGATAGTAATTATATTTACATTAAAATTATTTTTCCTGAAAATGATCTTGCTTCCTTCGTTTTTCATATAGAATAATGAAGCCAAGAGTGAGCCCCGTCAACTTTCCTGCTTAGATAAAAGCTTATCTGCATCTGTAACCCCCTACTGCCCTCATCTTTAAAGAGGCATTTCCTTCTCCTATCTTTGAATACCATATCTTACCCCCTTCTGAGATCCTGCTCAAATTTTCCTTAGTTTGTTCTATCATCCTTCCTGGCTCTCTTCAGATATATTAATATGTTCATGTGTCTACTATGTTAAAGAAATATTTCCTGATGTTTTTGGTTTCTTTAGAAGCCAACATCTATCTGAAGAGTAGTCTTTCTTCTTGGTCTTAACTTCCTTTCTCACTCCTCAACCCTTTGGATTCCAATTAAACTATTTTCTCTGGCATCCCTAATGATCTCCCCACTGACAAATCCAAAGCAAAGTTTTCAATCCTCATTTCACTAACTTCTTTGTAATTGAAATTATATTCTCATTCACTTCCAGGACTTGCTATGTTTGTCTTGCTATGGACTTGCTCTGGTTCTCTGGTCTGTTCCTCTTTCCCTGCCCACTCTTAAAGGTTGGGAAGCCCAGAAACACATATTCGCATGCCCCCTGCCCCACCCCTTTGCATCCTCTTTCCATTCTCTACCTCATCAAAGAGTGACTTTACCCAAATTCATGTTTCAACATCCACCTAATGTTTCTGTCTCCCAATTTATATAGTCCAGATATAATTCTGAGATAAAATTTCTGGTGAGGTGCTGGAGTGATAGCACTGCGTTTGATTGCCTTGCACGTGGCCAACCCGTGTTCGATTCCCAGCATCCCATATGGTCCTCTGAGCACCGCCAGGAGTAATTCCTGAGTGCATAGCCAGGAGTAACCCCTATGCATTGCCGGGTGTGACCCAAAAAGAAAAAAATTTCTAGTGAATATTTGATTTATGGGCTGGAGCAATAGCACAGGGCGTTTGCCTTGCGCGTAGCCAGCCCGGCCGAGCCGGGTTCGATTCCTCCATCCCTCTCGGAGAAGCCGGCAAGCTACCAAGAGTATCTCGCCCGCACGGCAAAGCCTGGTAAGCTACCCGTGACGTATTCAATATGCCAACACACATAAGGACAAGTCTCAAAATGGAGACGTTACTGGGCCCACTAGAGCAAATCGATGAACAATGGGAGAACAGTGTTTTTTATTTGATTTATATTTAATATGTGAAACATAAATGTTCAATTTGGACTCATTGAAAGTACTGCCCCAATATTTAAGAATCCATTTAACAAAATATGTGAAAGACCTATTTAGTGCTATTTATCAATTATTCTTTCTTTCCGTGTGTGTGTGTGTGTGTGTGTGTGTGTGTGTATGTTTGGTTTGGAGCCATTCCAGGTGATGCTCAGGGCTTATTACTGGCTCTGTACTCAAGGATCACTCCTAGAGGGGCTCGGGGACCATTTGGGGTGCTGAAGATGGAATCCAGATTAGCTACGTGAAAGGCAAAAAAGCTACCTACCATACTAACACTCTAAGCCCTATTAATCCATTCTTAAGAAACAAAAGAAGACACAAGGAAATGAAAACATATTTCTTATTTATGGCTTAGAAGACTCAACATAATTGAAATGACCATATTATCCAAAGTAGTTTACAGCTTTAATGCAATCCCACTAAAATTCCCATGGCACTCTTCAAGGACATAGAACAAATGTTCTAAAATTGGTATGGATCCATAAACTCCACAAAGCAATCCTAAGAACAAAGACAGGAGGCTATGCACACTCATCTATATACAGGAGTCCTTTTTCTTTCTTTTTGATTACCTCTTTATTCCAATATTTGTTCAGTAGTACCTTGTTCAGCTTCCAAGTGTTCAAGTTTTCCTCAGCTTTCTAGGTTTACTTTCATCTTCAAAACATTACATTCTGAGATCATGCTTGGTATATTTCTATTTTCCTGATTTTATGGAAACCTATTTTGTATCCCAGCATGTGATCAATCTTACAGAGTGACCATGAGCACTGGAAAAAAGGTGCACT